GTAGGCTACTATCACGGCTCCTATGTGCATTCACGCTCTCTACACTGCACCACCTTTACTCAGTTTATTCATACTAGACAAAAAGGTATTTAAAAACTACTCTTCTCACCCTCAATGGTCACCATGTTAGCTACGTTAAGAAGCCAGCGGAAGAAAGATTCATTTTCAGCGTCGAAGGTGATGGCAAAAGCTAGCTAGCTTACACAAACAACATTAATGAACAATTATTTTGTGTTACGGCATTGACTGGCGTTTGGGTTTTGTTGTCTATGTAGAAAAAGTTTGTACTAGTTGTACTGCCAGAGCCACAACTAGTAAATATTTCCTAAATGCTGACGCTAATGTTAAAAAAATGCTAACTGCATGACAGCATTTCTATTTAGTGCACAGTTTTCACTTCTTCTTCTCTCACAATCATTTATCTGTTGGTTTTGCTTTATTTATGAAATTTAATTACAGTGCAATTACATTACAACTTTTATAATTCATTATCTGTGTAAATTAACCACGTGGCTGTCAGGACAGAGACAAAATAGCAGTTAGCTGGAGAGTGCAGTGGGGTAACGTTGGCAATTACATGTTATACGTCTGATGAAACTGTTGCTGTCTACATATACAGAAAATCACATTGAACAGAAATTCACATCAACACTTACATCCATAAATAGCGACATAGTTGTCGGAAAAGGGCTATTTAATGGCAAACCAACGTGTGCACTCAGTAACCTTGCTTTTACATAGGATATAACCAGAATACAACCAGCCGGGTCAAGGAGCCTACTGCAAAGAGACATTGGAGATATTGCAAAGAAAATCAAAAAGTTATTTTTGTCTCTAGTCAGTAAATTTAATGCAGAGGTACTTAAATATAAAAAAAATGCAATTTACGCCTCACAAATAACTTCATTTAATTTAATGCGTGGAACTGTATTTCATTATAGCAGAGTAAATGTACTGTATGAAAGACAGACAAAAAAGGATTATGCTATTGTCTCTGATTAAGACAACTGTGGATGACTTAAAAAAAATTTCTAGCTAACAACAAGAAAAAAAAAAATCACAGTGTCACAGAAACAAAACCTTTGTTGATGAAATACGTGTTTAGGCACATGTAAGCGAGCTGGAACAATGTCTTTATTTGAGGTCTGGATGGGAACATTGATTTCACTCTGAAGAGATAAAAACTGTCTGTCTTTGTCAGCTGGGAAAAGCATTAATCAGCAGGTCAGAGAAGCAGAATCTGTAATGAGTTACACATTTGTTTTTATTATATATAACATATTTTTTTTATGAATCTCTGTCCTGGGTTACTCGCCATGCATTGGAGAAAATAAGCATCAGGTGCAAAACGCCCTGTAACTGACTTGTCTGAGTTGATCAAAAAGGAATGATTGTGAGAATATGAGATAAACAACTAAATCCAAATGTCTTATTAATGCAAGTACTAAAACAATAAATAGAGAGGAAATTTGGGCAGCGATATCAAAGTAACATATAAAGATTGTCAGGAAGGCTGTTAAAATGTAATAATTTAAAACTCGCATTCAGGTTAAATTGAGTTTCGTGAAAACAAGGTATGTTTATATTGGCCAAGACATTAAGCAACATGTGTTTGCGAGCAAAAAGCATCAATTAAGCAATGTGCTCGCAAGAAAAGGGATTAATGTCAAACATCTGGTTTTCCTTTGTTCCTATATCAATTTCACATATCAGCTTAATTCCTTAGTGTTTCCTTTTTCTTTCTCACCCACAGTAACCTTTCCTTGCCCCTTGCTCCTGGCAGCTGATAAATCAAATTACAACTGGTTATTTCAGAATAATTTTTTTTAAATGCCTTGAATAATTTGCAGGGGACCCACTAGTGGAAAACACCAGCCAGTTGTAGTTGCAGTCCATGCATAATGTCTTTAAGTAGAATTTGGACAAGCATTGTTCAGGTGTAAACCCAGGGGAACAGCCTAGAGTCATTAAGAAAAACGGATAAAACTTTCCAATTTCTTTGAAAATTAAGAATTATAGCAGATCGCGGTGAAGATCACGGAGCTTATCTTCACCTCATTGTTATTTCTAGTATGACTATTAGTAATAATAACATTCACTGGATGGTTTCACGCTTAATTTGTGTAGTTATTTCAGTAATAGTTTTGTACAAGTTTTGTGGATCACACTATTGGCTTTCAGTATGCCGTTTCTTTGGCTTAGAAATACTATAGCATTAAGTCTTGCAAGATTCCTCCACAACAATTGAGGTTCTGGAAAGTAAAACCATACTTTACTCGACATTTTTGCTGATAAATAGCATATTACTACTATTCTATCTATTACCAATATATTGAAGTATTAGGAGGCAACAAAGTTATTTGGGGAAATGTTAGAAATGCTCTTTTCCCCTCAGCCTGGGCAGAGGCGTGTCCATATATGATTACCAGCAGCAGGTGGTCTGAGCCCCAGCAGGGGACGAAAAGTCATAATTAACAAACTGTAGATTACAAGCTGTGTGTAAACTTGCATGCTGTACTATTGAATACTAAGAATCACACATACTAAATGGACTTGAGACACAATTCCACTTTTTTTGTTGCAAGATGTTACAATAATATTTGTGTGTTCAAACTGAGACAAATATATATAAATATATAAATGTATGATATTTCATCATTCAGGTCTGTAACAAACAGCCAAAAGCAACCAAAAACAATCAAGAATTTCCTTGACTGACCAAGTCAGCCATAAATCCCATTAAAAATTCATTCATAGTGATTTAAAACAAGACTACAGGCAGAGTGACCCGGCAACAAAGAGCAGCTGAAGGTTGCTGTGGTGAATGGCCTGGAGAGCGTCACCAAGGAAGAAATAAAGTATCGGCAGATCTTTATCAGCTGTTACTGACTACGAGGGTGGTTTCACAAAATGTTTCTCTTTGCCTAATGTTTCTTTGTTCAATTTTCTTTTAAAACCTGTAAACCTCAGGGACTGTGTGTTGAAAAGTATATCTCTCTCGCATGCGTCTTCTTATATTGATATATACTGAGACTTTTTCTTTAAAACTATTGCTCAAGTTTAATATAGAGTACGCTGTCAATATAGTTAAAGGTTTCTCTGAATCTGTTGATCTTGTGTTGTGCAGTACGTGGCTCTGTGGTTGACAGTTATAGAATGAGGAGATTACTTCTTTGCGCACATGGTTTGAAAAGCATTTTTCAATGAATGCAAAATGCAAAAATGTATTTCTGATGTCACTGAGTTTTGTAGGTTTGTCTGTCTTCTTGTTGACAAGACCATGCATAAACTTCCAAATTGATTTCTTGGTGAAGAAGTAGAGTATGGGCAAAGAAAAAAATGCTAAAACTAGTGCAGATGAGGATCGCTTTCTTTGAAGTTTTGAGATGGGGCATAGACATTTGTTTTGGCAGGGCACTGGCCCATGTAATTTGTGTGTATGTGTAATTGAAAGCAAGGTTACCCTGAAACCTAGTGAAATTTAATCAAATTTGGTGCATGCGGTATATGAGCAACAGAAGGACCCATTAAATTTTGATACAAATTTAATTTCTTAAATTTAGAGTATAGAGTATAAGCCTTTGTGGAGGACACTGCTTTTTGATTGTGCTTCAAGATTTCTTTAGCGTTCAGCTAGTCTAAACTATTTCTGGAACATAGACACAGATGTCAAAACCTTCAAAAGCATTTCAGTTTTAAACTGTAGATGTGTTGCTCCATCCAAACATAACATTAGACCATGCTACCCTTTGATGTATAACTTCTAACTCTCAAAAAATAAGGCCTGTTCTCCTGATAGGATCCATCAACAAAAGTGCGTTATGCAAGTTCTGCCCAAAGGGTCAGAAGATTTTGCAATTTGATAACAATTCATCAACTCTCTGCTGCATTTGGAATACAATGGCTTAGATTTGATAGTTAACTTATAAAAGAAAGAACTCAAAGACTCAAATTTTGAATTGCATTCTGATAGAAGCCAATAGCACATAAATAGAAGAAGGAAATTGAAGAATTTGTATTTTAAAATAGATTCATAGTGATTTAATAGATAGATGCTAAAGATGAAGTTGCTAACTAACAACCTTACTAAATATTTATATATGTATCCCAAAAACATGAAATTGGGATACGACAAAGCTGTCCACTAAGACACAGTGACATATGCAGTGATAGACATCAATTTCAATATAAATCTAGCCAGAAATACAGATGGATATGCCGGGAGTACAACCAAAGTCTTTCACCAGATTCAGAGAAACAGGCCAGGCCAGGAAAGCAGATGCTGCAGCCCAGAAGCTAAACTACACATCCATCTATAATTTTTGCCAAGAGCTGGCAGGGATGAGACAGGCAAAGTACCACTCAGAATTTAGGGAGTTAATACCACAGAAATCATCATTTTTTAAAAATGCAATGCTGAATTTTAAAAATAGAAAACAAAATTCTTGAAAGATTAAACGAATGCATAGATAAAATGACAGTTCTCTTTTATTATTAGAATGAGGTAGTAAAGTAAGTAAGATGTACTCATCAAATAACTACAGCCTTTACTTAAAATAGTCTAAAAATACTAAAAATAAAGTAAAATTACTACCCAAATTTCACATAATTGTGTGAACACACTATACAAAATAACAGATTAAGTAACAAAATACCGCAGCAAGTGGTATTTTGCGAGCACTATTGATGAAGTCTAAAACCTCCCACTCTCTTGAATTTAGGGTCTGTAATCTGTCTACCAGTGCACACAAGACAATGGAAGGAAGAAATTGTTTAGAGATCGTCCAAAGGTTGAAATACTATACCTTTCAGCAGAGCACTGTGATTCATTACAGTACACTGTAAATAGGATTTTCACAAGTATCAAAGCTTATTAATGATATCATGCAACCTCCACTGAATGCATAGCAGTAGAGTAAAATGATAAAAACATATGCAGGAGGTGGGATAAGTACTTTTTTTTTGGGGGTCTCATTTCCAGGTAAATAAATGCCACCAACCTTTTTAGTCTTGACAGTCGATTGGCAGCAGTCTCCTCCATCGTAGTTACAGAAGGCTCTGTTGTTTACTGAGTCACAGTAGTTGTCTCCCATGAATGGCTATATCAAAGAGAAGCAATTAGGCACAGACACTGAGCTAAGAACATCCTGCCTTGTTAATTGCTGCCACAACTCTCAGAGTCTTTTGCTGTTTTCTCTTGAGCATTTTGGGGCTTTTAGAAGCCTCTGGATAAATTTGCTGATAAATCTGATACATTACATTTTCCTCATTCTTCAATCTGACTCTTTAAGCCCTTAGTCGCCCAGACCCGTAAATCAAACTGAGGACACCATAAACTATTCACTGCGCAAAATGCTCCAGTAATTTGATTTATTGGGTTGGCCCCACCCTCTCAGCTTGGGTTACCAATCAGGTTATCCAATTGGCCAAAATGAGTGGATGATATCATTCTTCCGTGAAGTAAGGTGGAATTCCTTCAGATGTTGCATTCACTTGTGAATGCCCCATTAATGGAGGGAAAAACATAGCATAATGACACAGTCATGTGTGTAAATTATTTCAGGAGGCATTACACCAGATTATAGCTAGTTAATAGCTCTTCAATGGACCTTATATATAAGTCTGATAAGAGACACCTGTATATCAGCAACATGTTTAAATGACTTGTGAGTGCCTAATGTTTTCTTTCCCTGTGCCGAGTTGTTAATAACGCAAGATGTCCCAGAAGGAAGAAAGCTCATTATGGACTTGCTTGGTTTTCTTTCTTCAACTATTGTCTGAGGATTTTACTTATAACTCATCTACACTGATGTAAAAAAGAAAGTTTTCACAGGACTCTTTCCAGTTCTGTGAAACTCTAACCATACCACATGATTTAGTAGCATATATATCCACCTTTATCACCTTTACCATTATTACTTGAAATAATAATTTCAAGTAATATGATAATATGATAATATGATTTTATCACACTTTTTTAGACTTGGAGGAAATATGGCCCACTCTTCTTTACAGAAGTTAATCAACATTTGCAGATATAATCAACACCTTGATTATTTACTTTTTTCAGCCATTCTGTGGTAGATTTGCTACCATTCTTGGGATCATTGTCCTGTTGAATGACCCAGTCTTGGGAAAGGTTTTGGTGTTTCACAGGCTTCACATTTGATTCTAGAATCCTTTGCTATGGAGAGAAGTTTACGGTCAACTTAGTGACTGTCCAGGTCCTGTGTCTATAAAACAAGCCCAAATCACCACCCCTAAGCTGTTCCATATTTGCCCAGGAACCCTTCCAAACAAGCCACACTTGTTCAGGCTTTTTTCTAATTCTACTCTTATGAATTTTAACATTCTGACCTTGGGATGAATTTGCTCGGATGTCCAGTTATAAGTAGATTGCAGCATTGTGTTAGCACACATCTGAAAGCTCCAGTCTCACTTGTTGATGAGCAATTATTCAAGTGCATTTGATCAGCAGCACCTGATTGCTACGTACCCTCTTAATTCTTAATAAGCATTCAGGGTGGACTAAGTACAGAAGGTAGTACCGAAAGCTTTAAACACCATATATCCTGTGTTTGAGTCAAGAAAGTAGGTATGAAAATTACATTTTTGTATGCCTTACCTCACATCCTTTGATGCAGTGGAGGAATTCTGGGTGTGGATACCATTTCAGCCCCATTGTACAGATAATACTCTGTAAGATAAATCAACATTTGTGGGTTGAAACAAAGAAACACTGACGCTTGAAAAGTTGCTCTGTACAATTTATTTCCTGCCAGGAGTTTGTCCTTTTTTCCCAGATTTCAGGCCACATAATCCCTAACCGTACTAAATTCAATGGGCACATTTAAGCTGTGCACGGACACACCCCTAAGACAGGGAAACATAGACGTTATCAAAAGAGCTCATGTACTACTCCTAGAAGCTTTTTTGTGAAGCCTCCTTTGCTTTACACTGAAACCGAGTAAATTGATTTTTAAAAGACATAACTTAAAAAAAATGTTTTTTATAACTTAGTCATACCCCCAGGAGGATAAGGAACTGGAAGCATGAGAAAGACAGAAGCACAGAGGTAAGAGGACCAGGTTATCTAATATCTTTGCAGAATGTGTGGAATCCCATTCTGTTCTCCTGCTGTGTTTCTCTTTGAAATGCAGCAGAACACATTTGTGCTCAGGGCAGGTGGACAGCAATGTGTACACTGAATGTACAGCTATATGTGCTAATGCACCCTTCTAAGCATACACTGTACAAGAATATAAGGGTGTAAATAGTTACATGACGATGAAAGGGCATTTTTAATTTCACGACTGTGACCTCATAAAGTCTGTGTCCCATGTTGGGAATTTGTTCGTGAACAGGCAAACAGAGGCTTTGCTTATAGGATATGTAAATCGAGCTTACATAGTACTGGCCATGACCAAAAGCACCATTTGCAGCAAAACCCCGCTGACCTCAGCTGGTCCATTTTTCAGATCCATTGTGCCCCAATATCTCACAAAGTTGACATTCTTTTCTTTTGTTGCTGCAAACTAAGGTATTTTTCATTACAGTCGTGTCAGCAAATCAATGCAAAAAGAAAGATACAGGCTTCAAGGTGGAGAGAATCAACAACATAGCATCTGAGGGCAACTGAGAGCTGTGAGAGTGATGCTTCTACTACTGTGATATAGTACTGCATAGCTGAGTCCAGACATGCCTGCTGTGTGTGTATGCCTGTGCGTCTACAGGGAAGGGCTCTAATGGTCAGTATATACGGTGGAATACTGAGAACATTATTTTATATTACAGGTGAAACTTTTTGCAAATGCTGTACTTTTTCTTTCTTTCCTTCTTGTGCTCTACAGTGATGATGTCATCTAGAAACTCTCCCCTTCTCTCTCATTCTCTCTCTCTTTCCTCTCACTGCAATGTCGTAAATCATGATAATCCATGATTGTAGCCTGGCCTCACCCCTCACTACGTATGGGATCCTCACCCTCTGAAGCCTCCCCAGGGGACTGATACCACATAAAAATAGATCCCTATCTCAGCACCACCACAGAAGAGGTCATGTCATATAGAAAATGACTAATTCTGCAGTAAGCCCGACAGGGTAATTTTGCTGATAAAGGGGGAGGAGGGTGCTGAGGGCACAGAGTAGTCATAGATAGAGAGACAGGGAAAAGAAAGAGGGAAGGTGGAGATAAAGAAGGAGGAGAGAATTCTAAGTGGGTCACACTAAGAACCAAAATACAACTAGTTTAAAGGCAATAAATCAACATCACTTACTAAGGTGGGCAATGCCGATTTCCAGCTCAGCAAAGTAGAACTAGAAAGTGGGGACATTAATTCTCTTGTAGATGGTGCATGAAGAATTCCACCCTCTAGGGATAGTTTGCCAATTCCTACTTACAGCATTCCTGGTGTTATTACAACTGTTAGCCTTCACCATGACTATTATTATTTTTCACTTCCCACTACTGCAGTATCCTTCTGTTCTGTTTTGTTAATACCCTTTTTATCTTGTATTTCTGTGTTTTTGCATCCTTATCTCTTGGGTGGTCATTCAGTTTTATTTTTCATCTTTTTTTTGATACTAGAATTAACTGAGTAGGAACAAGGTTCACCATTAATGTCAGTAATAGCACTATGACAATTATGTGATCGCAAATCTAACATGCTACCATTGGGAACATCTTGCCACATGAGTGGCAGACCATTTTTATAGGGTGGCCAGACTAGGACCATTAGTCATTAGGAGGAATATAAACTGATTTCTTATCATTTACGATCACCCCTGGCCACTCCTGTGCCATAAGGCAAATTTCTGTTAGCCCTTTTAGATGCTACGGTAGCTGCTTATGACTGCGTGTATATGTTCGGGATGAGACTGTGTGCTCGCATTAATTATGATATATCAACACAGGATGAGCTGGCAGAAGGAGGAACAAAACAAAACATTACACTTGCTTAGACTTGTGGTCATTACCTTGAAAGCTTTACCTCTTCTAACCGCTTATCCTCAACACACTTTCCTACTCTTTAACAGTCATCCTACCAACATCACTTCTCTGACTTCTCTTACACTATCAGATGGACCCAACAGCATAACCTCAGGTTTGAAATTACCCCTGAGCACAAATCATATCAATTACACAAATCCATAAAAGCAGATCATTTCGTGTCCACATGGCCTAACCCACCCCTCCCCCGGCATCCACCACCAACTGCTGACTCAGTGTGACTCTGAAACAGAAATAAAAGGTGTTGTCGGAGAAAAAAAAAGAGAAAAATAAAATGTACTCTTTTGGTCAGGCGCGACTTCTCTAGTTTCAAAACTCGATGCTATTTAGTAAGACCTGTCTCTTGTTCTACAGCTAAAAGGGCATTAAGCTGACAAAAGTACTTTAGGCAGATTCAACATTTGTGGCATTGATACATTTTGAGAGTAAAATTAGAATTTAGACAACACACAAAGTCCAGCTGTACCTCTACACAGCTGCTGACCTCAACCATAATCTTCATGAATATCTCAAATGACACCATGGTTGTGTCGGAGAGCCCCAAAAGAGACAAAATGTACGGTCCTGTGCTATGTGACCTTCTCCACCACAGCCTCCTACCTCTGTGTTTTGCTATCTGCCAAAAAAAGAACACTTTATTATTTAAGTAGCTGTAAGGTATATCTAAATTAGGCCAATTACCAGTGAGCTTCAGTGTTCTTTAACAGTGATTAACCTGAATGAATAAGGTTGGTCACAGTGGCAGTGAGGGTGAAAACAAGTGCCTCACAACAATTCTTCAGCAAGACAAATACACTGGAATTTAGAAAAAAATCTTTACACCTTGGGAATAAAGTTCTTGTACCTCATTATCTCTCCACTATATCTACTACTATATCATCTTGAAGACTGAAAGGAAAGTGGGCAGCAGGAGGTTTTCATACTTGTTGTCAAGAATAAATTTTAAAAGGTTGCTATGCCTCTAATCCAAATATTTGTATGGCATTGGGTTGGCATTTTGCATTGCAAGCAATGGAGTCAGGATCAAGGAACTATATGTGAAATTCCAAGGAGAAGAGTTGTGCTTCACAGAACTTCGTGAAGTGCGTCTCTCAGAGCTGTGAGGCGCACACAAACACATGCAAACTTACCTTCAACTTAGGTGGATTTCTCCAGTGCTCCTTCATTACTTTTCCTATGGTCATATTGTGAGGGAGGATCACAACATCGTTGTTCCCCTCTCTACATGTCAGCTCACACTCCTCACCTGTGTTTGTTTGTGTGACAAAGTGACAGAGAGAATTACACTAATGAAAGATCAACACCACGAATGCCGAGATTTATTTTCCTCGTCATTGCCAAACCATTGTGAGACTATGTCACAATGGTTTGGCAATGTGTGAAAGATGAACCTAGTATAAAAAAAGCATTAAGTAACAGTAGATTTGTGCATACAGACCTATGCCGTGTCCTCGTTTGCATGAGTATTGCAGGCTATAATGGAGGTTTTGAGGTAAAGAACACTGGCCTTGGCTGTGTGGGCACAGGCGGAACGACCCTGTCCAATTTCCATCTTTTCGACAGCGGATCTCATTGGACCCTTTGCCCTGAAAATAACACATATATTGACAGACAAATAATTATACACATACAGACATACACACAGGTGCACAAACACTACTAGGCCAAGGACACTGAGATGCCATGCCACTGTACAGGGAAATACAATCCAATTTTTAGTAGGCATCCAACCCACAACGTCGAAGAGGCAGAACAGATTAAAAGGTGTATACATTTCAAAAGTCTGTGGCAGCAGGGCTGTTCTGGAAATCAATAGCAATCTAATTAGCATGGCGTCAAATTGAGTAGGGCTAAGGGAGACAGGGAGAAAAGCAGGCAGGGCAGAGTAAGATGTATCAGAAAAAAACAGCCAGGATAAAGGCTGTATCTTATTTTTCAGTCATTAATTCATTAATTTAGTACATTATCATTGGTCATTAGTAATTATGTATGATATTACACAAGAGTATATTAATAACAATTTGTCTGTAGTGATTTCCAAACAAACAACATTACCAGTAATCCTGGAGAATCAGCCTGGTGGTACAAATTGTTTTAAATGCACTATATTTATCTGTGATTATATTATTTATTACTAAGTTATGCTGAACAAACAAAACAAAAAAGAACTGTGAGGGTGCAAAGAAGAGAAAAAAAAGAGAAGACAAGGACACTGGCAAAGCAAGAATAGACAGAGAGGAAAGAGATGGACAGACCTGCTTGCAAGTAGGGTGCAGCAGCCTCACCGTATGGGCAGAGCGTCCTGTGCCGGCGATAGCAGTATTACCAGCAGGGTCAGAGCAGTTTAGAGTGCAGGTACTGTCAAAACGAAACCCATTGGTACAGTTATAGGAGCCATGGAAGATCGGAGGTGGAGGATCACAAGTCACGGGCTCGCAAGATCCCTCGAGCCAGGTGCCGTCTTCTGTGCACTGGCGTTTGAATGCACGCCTAAAAGGAAAAGAGAGATGATTAATTGAATCACGTGCAGACCCTAATTTCATGTGGGAACAAAGTTTCAAAGTAGCAAAAAATGAACAAAAAAAATTTCAGTTTATTTCTTTACCGCTTGGGTTTATTGGTAACATGGTAGCCTGGCCTGCACTTGTACTTGCAGAGTGTGCCAACTTTTAAGTCTGACTGCTGGCAACGTTTTGTCTGCAGCACAGCATTGGGTACAAGAGGAGGGGCTGGGCAACGAAGCTCACATAGAGCCTCTGGGAAGGACCATAGACCATCCTCGAGGCAGGTAAGCGTGTTGTTTGTACCTAGAGAAACAAAAAAGGAAAGGATAAATGGAAAAGCATACAGGTCAGTGAATCAGTAAAACTAGGTCAGATCAGATGCAGTCGGCTTCAAAACTACGAGTTGTAGTGCAAAGCCAAATTTGAGGTTGTTTGAAAAAAGGTGGTCTTAGTTTAAGGGTCTTTTCTGTGTTGCTTGGCAATCAGTGGGAAGAAACCTCTAAAATTATTAGCAAGAACATCCCCTCTTGCCCCTGTGGGCGCTCTATCCTGCAAGCTCGGGTGCTCTACCAGAGTCCTGGGAGCTTGAGGGTCCTGCACAGTATCTCTGCTGTTTCTAGGACTGCGCATCTCGAATATTGTTTTTGGGATCTGCTGGAGCCACTCGCCTAGCTTGGGGGCCACAGCACCGAGTGCTCCGATTACCACTGGGACCACTGTTACCTCCCCACTCCATATCTTCTCGAGTTCTTTTCCCTTGAAACTTCTCCAGCTTCTCATGTTCCTCCTTCCTTATATTTCTGTTACTTGGTTACTTGTTACTTTATTCATCATTCATCTATTTCTACCGCTGTCTTCCTCTGCTTGTTCACCACTACTACGTCTGTGTGATTATCTATCACCAGTTTGTCTGTCTGTCTAGACCCCAGCCTCTGTGGATCTTGTCCTCAGAGCTTGTTCCTGTGCTGCCATGATTAGTGCCTCTGTGCTATCTTTCAGTCCAGCTTTGTCCAGCCACTGGTAGGACTTCTGGATGTCACCATACAGGGCTCTTTTGCTAGCTCTGGCCATCATCCTTGGTTGTGGCCATCTTCCTATGTACTCATGGATGTTTGTTGTCACATCCTGGACAGTGGTTCTGACACTCCCCAAATCTTCCTTATATTTAGTGTTACGTCTTGGGGTGCTGGATTTGGAGTGAAACCCTCCATGCATGGTGAGGAGCTTCCTTGTCTTGATGTCAGTGGCCTCCATCTCCTCCTTTGGTCAGCTTATTATCCCAGCAGAGAACCGGATAACCTGCAGGGTGTAGCTGTTGATAAAACGGATCTTGTTCTTCCAGTTCAACTGACTTCTCAGGATTTGCCTGACCTTTTGCAGGTATTTGGTGGTTGCAGTTTCCCAGGTGCCTCTTCGTGGTTCTCATTTGCCTGTGGGATTCCCAGGTACTTGTAGCTGACCTTAATGTCTGCAATGTTCCCTTCTGGTAGTGCAATTCCCTCAGTTCTGATTACTTTTCCTCTCTTTGTTAACATCCGACTACATTTATCTAGTCCAAATGACATTCCAATGATGTTGCTGTAGATCCTGGTGGTGTGGATCAGTGAACAATGTCTCATTCAGTCCTAGTGTACAGCTTGATGTCATCCATGTAGAGGAGGTGGCTGATGATTGCTCCATTCCATAGTCAATATCTGTAGCCAGTCTTGTCAATGACCATTGGGGACAAAGGATCTCCTTGGTAGATGCTGCACTTGATGCAGACTTGTGCTATTTACTTGAAGTTGGCCACATCCACATTTAGTTCCTGATAAAGGCTCTTAGTTTCCTTTTGATTCTGTATAGATCTAGACATTCAGGATCCATGTGTAGGGCATCTGGTTGGACCACCCTTGACCTTCAGAACTGCTTTAATTCTTCATGGGATAGATTCAACAAAGTGTCAGAAAAATTCTTCAGAGATTCTTCTCATTGTCATCTTCTAGAAACCAGTTTGAGATCATTTTGTGATACGGTGCTAATTTTCAAAAGGCAATGTCAAATACTGGAAGCAGCTGACAGAAGATGATTACACTGTCATGATAAAGGGATGGAGATTATCAACAACAATACTCAGGTAGGCTTTGGTTGGTACTAAGGCTCCCAAAGTGTGACAAGAAAATAGCCTCACACCATTACACGACTGATACAAGACAGGATGGATCCATGCTTTTATCTGGTTTACACCAGATTCTGAACCTACCATCTGAGTATCACATCAGAAATCCTGACTCATTAGAGCAGGGAATGTTTCTTCAGTGTTTTAGTGTCTAATTTTGTTCAGCCCGTGTGAATCATAGCCTCAGTTTCCCGTTCTTAGCTGACAGAAGTGACACTTGGTGCAGTCTTCTGCTGCTGTAGCCCATTTGCTTCATGGTTACTGTTGCTTTTCTATCAGCTAAAACCAGCCTAGCCATTCTTTTTTGTTTCTGACTTCTGGCACCATCGCTTTGTAGCTGACCTTAATGTCTAACCCTAACCCCCCAGGAGAACAGCTGCTATCTGGATATTTTCTCTTTTTTGGTCCATTCTCTGCAAACCATGTTCAAAGACACTGATTAGATAATAGCATTAGCAAACACAACAAGTGTAACTAATAAAGTGACCAAGGGCTGTATATATTTATTGGAAAAGATCTCTGAAGGGTACCCTGTAAATATGAATCTGAACATGGATATGTCAGTGCTCCACTAGGCAACTCACCCATTAGCTGAGCAGGTTCTCGACACTGAAATGTGCTTTTTTTGCCATAGGTAGTGCCCTCTGGAAAGTTGAAAATGGCAGGATGAACATGATACTTGTCTGGTAAACCACAGTCCACAGGCTCGCATGATACCTGTTTGTTCCACTTCCCATTAGCACAAGTTATTGTCACTGAAGTCTCTGACTGGAAAACAAGACATGATATAACACAAAGTAAATAACAAATAAAAAAATATAAGTTTTACAACATAGTCTACATAGATATATAATAATATTCATTGATGCAAGCTTTAATTTGCATATTGATGCAACAGACTGATGTAGTGCACTTGTCCTATAAATGTTTACCTCACAAAAAAAATGACTACAGCAATTCTGCAATCATTTCAACAAGTTCCTAATCAGCGTGTAACCTAACAAAGCCTGATCGGGCTTAGCTTACTGTATGTCAGTAAGCCTCACAGGCCACTCAGCAGCTCAAGTAACTGCTGATAGCATTTGTAAGGTCAAGTCATGTACTTCAGACAACTGATATCCAGCAACTGCACAATCAGCCCTAACCCTAAACAGATTGACTTCAGTGGAAGTGTGACAGCTGAGAAACACACACAGACACACGCACGCACATAAAGTCTTCTACAAAATAGAAGGCAAACCCCTGTGGGTTTAGTCTACATCCATTATTCATCCTCTTTCTGAATTTATGTGTAGTCACAAAACATAAGAAAGTCGTTATTATATTTAGGTAAGAGATAAACAATATGCTGGAAATAGTACAAAATCAAAGGGGGAAAAAAGTAGAAAGGTTACTTCATATTTACTGAGTTTGTAATTTCATAAACAAATAGGAACAAGTGGCTTTCCGTTGCTCCCTTCTGAAAATCAAGGCAGCCTCTCCAACTTTTGAAAGACTACAGAGGGCATCCTGTGTGCCTGGGCCTTTACATGTTGTTGGAATGTGGTAGGAAACCAGAGAACCAAGAGGAAATCCACACATGGGGAGAACATGCAAAATCCACAAGAAACAGACTCAAACAAGAGCAAACCCAGCAGTGGCAGCATAGCTCCACTATTTCATACAGAGGCATGCTTAAATCGCCAGCAAGATAAAGGTTCCAGTATAAGGGATTATCATTATGGTAAATTACTTCTCAATTGCCAGACGTTTTGCATTTAGTGTGTGTGTGTGTGTGTGTGTGTGTGTGTGTGTGTGTGTGTGTGTGGACACACTCTACACATGGCTATGTGAAACCATTCTGTTCAAGGGAAGAATATTGTCTAGAGAATATAGCATTAGAAAACAATATTTTCTTGTATATGAACTCCTGAGAACTGACAGGGCAATCAGAATAGTTCAAAATCCTTTCTGGGTTTTTTTTAACTAGAAAAGTTTCCTCGTGTTAGGTTTATTCTCTATTACAAATAGATCTCATTGCTCTAGTTATTTGGCTTGTAGTGTGAGGTTTTCAGAGATGAGACGAAATTTATCTGAATGGGTTAACTCTCAATTTTTTTTTTATCCTCTTCTATTAAGTAGAACCATGTAATCCAACAGGAATGTTTAAATCGATAGTCGTGCCAAGAAAGCTCACAACAAAGCTGTTAGAGCTCAATCTTTTTGACTTTTTATTCTCAGAACCAGAAGAGAAACCTGTGTGGGTAACCCATCAATTACACTGGTTGACTTTAATTACACACATCTTTTTAAAGCGAGGCCAAACTTCAACACAAACTGGACTCAGCTGGCAATACAAATGTATTGTTTCATAATCTTCTCTCTGTTTCCGTGTATATCTGTCTTTCATCTCGATCCCGTTACATGATACTGCGTAACAGTATCGGGTTCCCTCAAAATAAATAAGCTCCTTTCATATTTGGATGTCCAACAAGGTAACATATGCATTGCATGTGAGCGCCTTCTGGAAAACAACTGGGTGAAGAGTTGAATGAGTCAGTTGAGATGTGAAGCTGTGGAGAAGCAATGTGGACCAACATTGAAACATCTCTTTTAAAATATGTGAAAATCTTAAGTACACTTGCAAAATTGTGCATGTGTGGGATAAGGTACGAGCTAATATGCACTTCACAAGTGTGGTCAATACTACACCCTACACATACAAATACACATAAACACACACGTTTACCTAGATGTGTTTGTGCTTTGGTGAGGGAGGTGATAGAGAACCCATCTATCACTAAAACAGCGTTTCAAAAATGCTGTGCAAAGATGGGGAAAAATCTGACAGAGGGATGACCATCTCAGGATGACTCCATCTATCAGGTCTTTTTATTTATTTTTTTCTGTAAAGTGGCCAGAGAGAGTTGAGTAAAACACACATAAGGGCCCACTTAGAGTCTGGTATGAAAAGGCCTCAGAGCAAGATGAAGATATTCCATAAATGTGATGTTTTTGGTCAAAGTGGTGGAAACTTCCTGTTATGACAGGGGCACTGGTGAAAGAGTGATTGATAAAGTAGAGAGAGATTCTTGAAAAGGGTTTCACCCCAGGTGGATATGACATGGGGCGAAGGGGGTCCTAAACCTCCCAGCATAACAATGACCTAAAGCACAGACCTGTTGCTTCAGAACAACGAGTCAAATACTTTCCTCTTAATTCTTTTGATCTTTTATAAGTGTGAGGAGCATTTGTAAATAGATTAATAATAAAAATCTACAAGACAGCTAGCTGTGCAAAAAGGGAAGAGCACTTTCTAAAGTGAGTATATATGTAGGTTTATGTGTGCTACTATGTGTGTAAATGTGTGGGAATTTTCCTTCCTTTAAAAAATTTACAGCTGCCTGTTTCTCTTCCAGTAGCGATTTTAACAACCCTTGGCTGTGCTTCCTAATTCAAGCCAGACAGACCTACAGACAAATGAACCAACAGACAACCCCTTCCTCAACTTAGGGATTTGTCTTCTTATAGATGGCAAACAAGCAAATTATAGCATGGTTGAACATTAATTGGAAGATAGATCTGCAATGATAAATAGTAGAATTACTAAGAATTAAGTATAATTTATGTGTCAGTCCTCGCGGAAAACCTCTTATAAAACATTTTTTTGTGAAAATCCTGTTCTAAGAATCAAAGGTTGTATTTGTGAAATATTCATACTGGCAATATCAGCGAATGGTTGCCCAAATGATTCTGGATAACGGTGTGGTCACAACAGCAGCGTGCTACTGAGAATGTAACTTTAGTCAGAAACCCATAGACCCCATATTTTATAAGTGTGAGGAGCATTTCAGCGTAACATGTCAACAAGCAGGGTGATTTTAATTTTACAGGCAACATTTTGATCTACAAGGTTTTCCTAAGAATCTATAAAGGGATTTACATGCTCACATCCTTGTTGGGCCAATAGCAAGCACATGTTTGTTTGTTTGATGAACACAGATTTAGTTGAGGGTTAGATCTCTTGTGTGTACAACTGACCTAAGGGGCACACCTAGCTATTACCATTAATATTTACAAAAAGAAAAGGTTACAGGGTAAGTGACACGAGGACAGGCCCCCAGTCTGTCACAGGGCTAACCGGGAGATACAGACAAGCATTTGCACCTATGAACAATTCAGGGTTACCCATTGACCTAACTCATGTATAAAAACATACATACTATGACAGGATATTAGAGAACCCAGAGAGAAGCCACAAAGAGAATACGCCGAAAGTGCCCAGCCTGGATTTGAAGCCAGGGCCTTCTTGCTGTGACAACAGTGCTAACCACCACACCAGCGTGTTGTCCACAACAACATTGTATATGTATGTGAATTTAGGATAATAGATACTTTACTTCATTGAGATTATCTTTTTTATCAGATGGTGACTTGCGATGGGGTTATTTTAATTCAGATACCTAAACGCTGTTTCATGGCAGGGAATGGTCATATCTGTAAAAGGGAATGCCTATATAAAATAGATGTGACTTCTTCAGTACCAGCACACAGTGTTCCCTAACCACTTCAAAGGAAGAGAAAGATTTGAAAAACAGACAGGAATAAAAGACACATATACAAATCAAGCAAGTGAGGGAAACAGATTTGTTCTGAAGATACTATTATGTAAGAAGTTGGTGTTCCCAGAATCGCTTTGACATCAGTGAACCAAGAATGTAATCGGCTAATGAAATGAGACAAGATTATGCTTCACATTGCACTTTTCAACCTTAGTGTGGAGGTGTGCGTGTCTTTGCAAGGACTGTGCAGCTGAAAAAAAGATGAGAGCATATGAGCACTATGAATCTGGCCAGACCATTTTATTACCAGCGCTTTGACTCGAAGCACATTTCGTTTATTACATTTAAGACATGATGTGCCCAGTCTTTCTTTTGAATGTGAATTGCTTTATTTTACCAATTATATCCAGCAGTTGTACAGTTTAGGTTACAGCTGTGTTGCCGTTGGAGTCAAAGTTATACTCCTGATTGGACTGTATAACTTGCAATCAAACACCTTCATAAAGTTGCATTCCACTGTTAAAACTAATTAGAGTTATGTCAAAACTGATCATTTGCAGTAATGCTTCAAGTAAATAGTGCATTTTATTTGCTGTGAGACTATTTTGCAAGGTATTGCAAAGCTGCAATAGATTTTGAAATGGATCGAGAAAGTAGTAAAGACGCTTGTGTTCAATAAGGACAATCTCTATTCACTCATCTGCCTATATTCCTGGGTATTCGGCCCGTTAGATAATTCTTTACATCACTTCCGATTTCTCACAAACTGGTTTCTGTCATCAAATGGCCCAACTATTTCCCTGCCTATCTTCTGTAAGCCAATCAATTTTTGGCAAATGTGAGAAGAGCCTTGGTGTTCTTTTTGGTCTTCAGAGGTTTTGTCCTTGGAACTCTCCCATATATGCCATTTTTGACCCATCATCGATCCACTCTTGGAGTAAATTTGGGACTGCTCTTGTGCAGATTCACCACTGTTTCAAGTTTTCTCCATTTGTAAATAATGGCTCTCAACATGACCTCTGAAATGACTTCTTTAGATTGTGCCATGATGTGTTATTCACAGTTAATTCATGATTTAACAATAGGGAAAATTACTTTTTCACTCAGGGCCAGGTAGGTTTGAATTTTCCCTCGACAAAATAAATCATCATTTAAAAACAGCATTTTGTAAGTACTCAGATTGTCTTACTCTAATATTAAAATTTCTTTAATGATCTAAAACATTCATATGTGACAAATATGTAAATTAATAAGAAATCAGGAAGGGGGCAAATACTTTTTGAGAGTATTTTACATGTCTCCTGGAATTAAAGCTTTCCGGTTCCAGTTCCACCCGGGACATTTGGAAGTGCTGGGTGGTATAAAATCTTTGTGAAATACCCAGAGCTCAAAATATGTTTTAATAGATGTTTAAATAGGACTGTCTGCAGCCAGAACTTGTGACTTCTATGCTCATGGACAGTTTTGATAACTTTTATCGAAACTTTAGTGTTACCTCAGCAGTGGTAGTGTCCTCAGGGCTGACAACAATCAAAATGAAAATACTAATAAAACAAGAATGTTTATTTTGAGAACTCATGAACTGTATCACCTCTATCTTCATGTTATTGGAATTTAAAAAAAAAAAACATATCTGAGACTGATTGATTCCCAAAGGCTAATTCAAGTAGAATCTTTCTTCAAAGAAAAGTAGAAAAAGGGATATGTCCCTCTTTCATATTCATGTTTTCATATTCAAGTATTTATAGTAAATTTTGCATCTGTTCATGAATGTCTGTTTTCCATCTCACAAATTCACATATTCTCCTTTCTTGGCTACATTCTCATCCGACTTGTAGTGACGGATAATCCAGGAGGGAAAAAATTAATTCAAATTCTCTGTGGAGTCCCACAAAGATCAGACCTTGGCCTACTACTTTTAAAAGATCCAACATACTTTCTATTATGGACAATTTATCCATCCACATCTGGGTCAGAGTCACAGGGCTAAGCAAAAATGCTCAGACACCCCTCACTTCAATCACCTCCACCAGGCTCTGAGCCCCTCCCTCTTCACCCTATGGCCAAGACTAAGCCCAGACACCAAACACAGAAAACTAATTTCCATCCCTTGTATCCTGGATCTCATTCTTTGAGTTACTGTCCCTAGCTTGTGGACAAAGGTGAGGGTTAGAATATAGATTTACCAGCTTCACAGCTTCAAGCTCAGCTCTTATCATCCCAACAAATGCCACATCAATCCGTATGTTAATCTCACACTCCATTGTCCCCTTCCCCTAGGGGCTACAACTCCTCCCCCAACCCAGAGTGGGTACCCTTTCCTCGCTGTGAACCACGGCCTAAGACTTGAAAGTGCTAATTCTTATCCCTGTCGATTAACACTTGACTGAAAACCAACACAGCATGTGTTAGAGGTCACCACTCAAAGGAACTAGAAGGACCATATCAGTAAAAAAGCAGTCAGCTGGTCCTGAGGCTACCAAACTAGAAACCATCTGCCACAATTTTGCTTTTACTTTATACCACTATAAAATGTGCTCAAATATTATTTTTCAAAAAGCTGATTCACTTTACTTCACTAGAGAAAAGGTCAGAGAAAAAGAAAGAAGAAAAAATGTAAAATATATACATGTTTATATTACAATCATTAAGTTAGATTACACAGTATAGATTTCAGAAAATCTACGTAATTCTATTTAAGTTAATTAGGGTAAACTTCCACATCCTCATTTCACATCTACAAAACTGAGCACATGCCTTTCATCTGGCTGAATGGATACAAAAGTTATTCATAAATAACAAGTCCTTGTAATATCTTTGAACTGTCAATCATCATTTGTGGCAAACACTCAAAGTACTACACAAGAAAATATTTGGCATAAAACTCTTCCTACTTCCTCTTCTGTCCTTTCTGCTTCCATAACAGCCTACTTACTGCATACTTTTTTGCCTCTCCTTTTCTTAAAAGCATAAATTATCACTAAACGAACTGACATTGGTGAATAGACAGATTGTGCATTGTCAATCAAAATATAATGCAATTATAAATCTGCAAAGAAAAATCAACTCCAAGGTTTTGTACATAAAATGTGTATGTCAGTAGCTTTTAATGGATTTTTTACATACACACACATTGTTTCTGTGCATACATGAGTAAACTACTTTGTGGTACTAGAACCAGTCCAGTTAGGACAGCTTGCACACAACATATGGAACAACCAACAGAAGAAGTATCTTTAGCAATATTAAAGTCAGAGTCCAGACCACGCATCAGAAAAGCAATTATGTGTAACCCTTCTTATACCCTTAATCCGCTCTTGCTTCTCTCTCCTTCTTGTCTTAATTTATGTTCCACATACAGCTCCCAAACATACCATACAGTACAGGCGAGTACTGTTTCTTTTTCTCCAGGATACAATACACATGTGCCATCTCTCTAAGAGAGCATTAATAGATTGTTTTGCAGACAGCTTTACAAAGCCATAGAGAAGGATAAAGCATTTATATGGCCTTTATTGCATCTTGGTCAAAATCCAAAAGGTTTACAATGTGGTGTAAACTACCCAGATCATTTGTTTATGTGTGGTGTGCAAGCATCTGTGTGTGTGTACTGTATCTCCCCACATCTCCATGCAAAGAGATTTCCTTGTACTCCTTGTACTTGACTGTTTGTTTGTTGGTATCTGCATGGAAGCATTTAATATGTGCTGCTTTGTGACAGTGGCAGCAAATCTCTGCCCTTTAACAGAGACTTCAATGTGTGCAGAATGAGCAGGAATGGCGCTAGGGAAAGAGAGGGAGGGAGGGAGCGAGAGAGAGTGAGCAGACACTATGCTATGATGTCATCATCCCAGTGGACCAGAAATACAAAGTGACTGTTTGAGGTGATGGTGCAGCATGCTCAGCAAGAGACTAAACACTTTTATGTCTGTGCTTGTTTAATGCATGTGCGTGTGGCGCGCCCATGTGTCTGTGTGTGCGTGTGGATGTGTCTTTGTATGTCTATGTGTAGTAAACTAGAAAAAGGAGAAGACTGGGGCTCCACTTTTCAGTGCAGCACTCATCTACCTGGAAGATTATGATGTCATTGTCCCTGGAGGGTTACTGTGCCAAGCATGTTTTTTTGTTTTTTGTTTGTTTTTTTGCAGGTGACAAAGTAAATCCATAAACAGAGAAGAGAACAGAGAGAACGTTTGTTTGCACTTTTGTCTTATTGACATTTGCGTATTTGAGTTTACATGAAAGCTTGTTTGAATATGCATAGACGGCTTCATGTGTGCATGCATTTTCCAGTAACTACACAAAAGCTCTGACATTTTTGCACTTGAATGCTTGCGTTGTATGTTTATGCGTTCTTGTTTCTCTGTGTGAAATGAGCTATGTAGCTGCCTATACGTAGTTAAACATGTGTGCAGCAGTGTGTTTGTATGCTCACCTGACTCTTGATGATGTCATCGTCCTGGTGGACTTGCAGGACATATCCAGAGTTGCAGGAGATGGTGCAGCGGTCTCCATTGTAGAAGTGGTGGCCAGGGCTACTGCACTGCTCTGCATTGCGGATCCGGGGTTCCTGGCAGTCAATGGCCTCACACGAATAATGTACACAACTACGAGGCATTGTGTGTGGGGGCAGGGGTGGGAGGGTGTTAAAGAAGAAGAACAGACAACAGAGATGACAAAGCTAAAAAAAATAAAAAATTAAACAAATTTGAAAATACCACTAATACACATTTTTTGTGAATATAATAGCACTGCAAACTCAGAAACGTGGAAGCAGTGCTCCAAAAGAGACAAATTATACATCGAATCCGCCACATCATCCATCAATGACCGCTTAACATACCAAATCAATAAACTACACAGAGAAAAGGCTGCCATATTCTGCAATGCACATGAAAGCGGAGTGTGAATATTAGGGAATTAAGAACAACGGGATAGATGCTGTGCAAGCTACAATGGTGCAGTTTGACCACAGCTCTGTTAGGATCCTGATGGAGAAGGCGTTTAACACTCTTGGAATGCTTGGGTGCCCAAGGCACCTTTTTACAACAGTCTGCATTCTGTAGTATAGGGTTCCCCTATGAAGTGAAGAAAGAAAAGAAGGAAAAGTATTTCACTCTCCTTCTCTGTCATTGTGTATGTATGCGTGTCTGTGAGGGGGTGGGGGACCGAAAAGAGAGAGAAAGTATGTAAGAAAATACAGATCTGGAGAAACATTGTTAAACTCAGTCCTGCAACAATGGAATTTGTATCTTTCTTTTTTCTGTCTTATTTTACCTGCTTTCATTCCACATATTATTTTTTGCACTGCATGCCTTCTTTCTCAAGATTGTTAATAATCTAAGCCTTCTGTTTACATATACTGTTCCATATGCCCTTCATTTTTTCCCTTATTTTGCTCCCAGTATGTTAACTCATGTTGACAAAAAGCTACGTTGAGCAGGTGAAGAATAATTATAAAGCACAGGAGCAGCGGTCCCTTACGTCTACTCTTTGAGGACAAACTTGGGAGACCTAGGAGGCTGCTTCATGGACTCTTAGGCTTTGAACAAAATCTCTTTGTGGTTTTTTGCTAGTCACTCTGGAATTTATGACATAAATTACAATTAACTACCTGGAAAACTAGCCTCCTTCCCTGCAAATGAGAATACATTATACACCACAGGGGAATAGTTTGTATGATAGAAAGGAGAGTTCAAGAGAAATGAGGGAACTATACAAAAACGTTTGTGAATATTGTTTTTATTTCTGTTTTGTTGTTTGTGGGGACAAATAAAAGTCCAAGAGTTCTCACTCTGGTGATGAGTGTAAAAGTTAAGAGAAGAAATGTGTGACAAACTGAAACAAAACCAATATATACACACATATGTATATACATATATACGTGTGTGTGTGTGTGTGTGTGTGTGTGTGTGTGTGTGTGTGTGTGT